AGGTTGAACGGGGGGAGGGGGGGAGGGCGAGGCAGGCGGAGGGGGGAGAATCTGAGGGGGAGCAAACGGGGAGACAAAGGGGGGCGGGGGGGCTCTTGGGGGAGACATGGGCGGACTGGGCAGCCACCAAGGGGGAGAGGGCGGACACTCCCCAATACACAACCCCGGATTGCCTTCAAACGAGGATGGAGGGAACTTCGCCAGAGGCCCTTCTGTGGGCGTCGACCCGAACAAATCATTATTCGAAACGTCAAACTGAACCAGACTCTCCAGCCCATTAAACCGGGGAAGTTCCCCTACCAAATCATTTCCGTTCAGCATCAGCACCTGCAGCTGGCCCAGCGTATTCAGCCTTGACGGAATCGTCCCTCCGATCCTATTAGAATCCAACCGAAGAGAGGTCAAACTCCACATCTGCCCAAACGTCTCGGGAATGCTCCCTTGCAGCCTGTTCCCGCCCAAATCCAATCTCGAGAGCCGCTGCGCATATCCAAACTCTTTAGGTACCTCCCCTTCGAACCCGTTCCCCCGGACTGAGATGGTCTGGACGATTGGGAGCGAGACTAGGAGCGCTGGCGCGAGGGGACCTGAGAGCTGGTTGTAGTCTAGTAGTATGTCCTGCACCTGTCCCAGTGACTGCATTTCGGAAGGGAGGGAGCCCGAGAGGGCGTTTTCTCTCAAGTCTAGCTTGATTAGAGAGTTGAGAGCTGAGATTTCCGGGGGTATTGGTCCCGAGAGGGCGTTTTTGCGCAGGTCTAGAACGGCGACGCGGCGGAGGGCGGAGAGGGTGTTTCCCGGGATTTCCCCTGAGAGCTCCGTTTCTGCTAACTCCAGGGTTTGAAGCGAGGAGAGGCGGGAGAGGGCGGAGGGGAAGGAGCCTGGAAAGGAGTTTCCGGGGAGGGAGAGTTGGAGGAGGTCTGAGAGGGAGGCAAGGGACGGGTCTGGGAGGTCGAGGGTACCGGAGAGAGTGCGGTAGGGGAGGGAGAGGGAGGTGACGCGGCGAGAGAAGGGGTTGCAGTCGACGCCCGTCCAGCTGCATGGGTCGGGGTCATTGGGGTTCCAGTTGTCAAGCGCACCTGTGTGATTGGGAGGGGTGGGGAAGGGGGAGGGAAAGGGTGGCGTGGGGGAGGTGGGGTGGGAAAGGACCAGGGAAAAAGGTTAGGGAGAAGAATGCGGTTAACGCCCGTCCAGCTGCATGGTTCGGGGTCGTCAGGGTTCCAGTTGGAAAGAGCACCAGGGGATGGGGGAGGGGAGAAAAAGGGGAGGGAATGGGTAAAGTACATGGGTTGGCAACACAGGTAAGGAACACGGGGGAGCATGGGTGAGGATGGCCGAAATGTGCAATAAAAGAAGTACATTTGAAGGGGTATGTCGGAGAATCGCCTTTCTCACCTGTAGGGTCGTCTGTCACGTGGGCTTTAAAGTTCAACAGTGCAGCTTTATCCACATCCGCAGGGCTCTGAGCAGCCGTCCGCTTTATAAGAAACACTTGTATAAACAGTAGAAGAAAAAGTTGTAGTCTATGTGGTCGATGTAGTCTCCGGAACCAGCTATTTATTCTACGCTGTGAACTTGCAGGTTCGGCAGCCATGCCTGGTGGCGAGCCAGGTTCGGCAGGGACAGGCTCAGAGTGGTCAGGCTTGGCAGTCCCTGGAACCTCAAGTGGGTGTGCTATCTTAGAATACATGTTGCGGACATTCTATGGCTTTCGTTTGTGGCTGTGACTATAACGAAGCTTCTGCGTTTTGACCTTGAACTAGCCTTAAAGGTCGTCGCCCTGTCGATGCCTCTTGCTGCAGAGTCTTGTCTATGAGTGTCGATAGCGCATTCGCTTCTAGAACCAAGTCTATCAGTATGTCTGTTACTAGTGCTACTGCTATTTCTGTTACTAAATATAACTGACATGTTTCTCCCGTTTCCGCTGCTGCACGTGATCGGGTGGCTATTCGTTACTATCACAGTCAGCGACGTCGTCATGATCTGCGACAATAAGCAGCGACTGCGACAGAGGTGCGAGCGGTCAAAAGGAGCGACACTTTATAGAAATGGAAACGCGTGATGTCACGGGAATGGTGAACGTAAAGGTGACTTCTGAGTGGACTCATAAGGAACGCTTGACACTACGGGAATGGAGTATGGCTTGAAGGCGAAGAGATGCTTGCGGTATCGCATCGCATGAACTAGTACAAAGCCAATCCCAACGGAAAATGAAACCACGGTTTGCTAGTCACCAGGTGACGTGTTGGATGAATATAAGAAGCGCGGTATGGACAAAGCAGGTTCTAGGTGAGGTAACCAGACAGTATTAGTGAGTAGGTATCTGGTTGGTTGTAGGCCATTTTGTTTGAGAAAACGCCTGCGGGATGCTATGCCACCAACACCGGAGACAAGGTGGTTCCTGCTCCTGGTATCTCACCGTTCCAAAACAGTATTCTTCATTTGTTGTTTCATCAACCAGAAGCCACAACTCAGAATCCACCCAGCACACTGCAGCTGAGTGGCACGTTCCGTAACTCGGGTACACTCATGGCATTTTCTTTTCTAAGCTTTGCTTCGAATACGCCTTGCAGGAAATGGCCCTTGGAATTGCCGAGACGCAGCAGCATCGTGTGTACAGCATACTCAACTCACCCCGCCGAAGCAAACCGCAACCGCGTCAAAGCTGAATGGCCGTGTGGCCAATGACCAGTCAATCGGTGCGGTCCTTTTTGGCGGGAAGAGCTGGTCCTTGCCCTTCTACAATCAAACTCGAGACTGGATCTCAACACCTTCAAGAATAATCAATGCATATACTACATTTGGCCAACGCAAATCCTTCAAAAAAAACAAACACACACACACACACACACACACACACACACACACACACACACACACACACACACACACACACACACACACACACACACACACACACACACACACACACACACACACACACACACACACACACACACACACACACACACACACACACACACACACACACACACACACACACACACACACACACACACACACACACACACACACACACACACACACACACACACACACACACACACACACACACACACACACACACACACACACACACACACACACACACACACACACACACACACACACACACACACCACACACACACACACACACACACACACACACACACACACACACACACACACACACACACACACACACACACACACACACACACACACACACACACACACACACACACACACACACACACACACACACACACACACACACACACACACACACACAATTACTTTGTGAGTGCCTTAACCTAGGAAACATACCGTACAAACACAGCAACACCAGACGACAGGGCACCTGAAAAACATCATGAGAACAGGTGAAGCATTGCTAAGTAAATGTGTTTTCCTGTAATCCTAAGGTCTGCGGCTGAGCGGGGCCACAGGTTCATCTACCGGAGACCTCTACATGAAGGACGAATGCGGTCAGCCCGCGGAAGCTCGCGGCTGGGCAGATAGCTGCGCAGAGGGCAGGTCGGAGGGGAGCTGGTGCATGGGATAATTGGGTTGAAACAGAGCCATCAAATCGCTGTTGCTGCTGCTGGGGTTGAGAATGGGATTCATGTACGTCTTACTGCTGTGTTGAAGAACAAAGTTTGGTCCATAGTAAGTAGGCTTATGCTCGGGCGGGACTGACTGGCTGGATGGCAGAAGGGATGAATGGATAGATGGGAGGGCTCATGACGGATGTGCTGTGTGCACGCATGTTTCATGGTGGTCAATGGTGGTACATTGTAGTGCAGAATGGCGCTCACTGCGGCAAGGTGCTGCAAGGTGCTGCATGGTGCTGCATGGTGCGGCAAGGTGCTGCATGGTGCCGCGAGGTGCTGCATGGTCAGCTCACGGCAGCACAGCACACATGGCTGCCTGGTGAAAGGATGGGCGGTGGTGCATGGCACAATATGGGACGGATGGAAGGGAGCTGTGGGTCAGATGCATGCTGGCAGACTACAGTGATGAAATCGATGGTTGGATTGCACACACCCACGAACGTTAGACAACTTCTGAGGCAGATCAAGAAACATGGGGCGGATGGAAGGGAGGAGAGGAGCTATGGGTCGGATGCTGGCTGACAGGCTGGCAGGCTGGCAGGCTGCAGTGATAAAATGGAAAGTCCAATTGTGCACACCAACACATGGTGTTCCCTACTCGAACACACAGGCGCAGTGCTGTCGCTGCCATTGGTGCTGTTGATTCTGTCGCTGGTATGCATGGTGCTGTGGTGGCAGTGTTTGATTGTGCTAGTGGAGGTGGTGTGGTGTGGGGCTGCTGCTCCTCACAGCTGCTGCTGAAGAAGAATAACTTCGACGAATGATGCTTGCACTCGCATTTGTGAGTAAGCTTTCCGGAGTGAGTGATGAAGCTGGTCGCAGTGGTTGACTTGACTCAATACTCATCATCTCAGTCGACTCAAACTCAATCGTCAGAAGTCATTTTGAGTCGACTGAAAAGTCCTTCTGGAGTGAGTGAGTGAGTGATGGAGATGGTTGCAGTCATTGACGGAAAATTCATCTGTGGTCATCTGTGGATGGTCGCTGTGTCACAATGGTCAATCTCCAGGCGCCTCATCAACACATTGGGGGGGGCTGATGCCGTTGAGTGGCGGTGGAATGGCCAGATGGTTTCCTTCCGAGGCGCCTCAGAGGGAAAACTACGAGGGGCAGTGGTGTTGGGTATGATTCCTGATGATGGTTCCTTGGCCGCTTCAAAGACAAAACGTGGCTGCAGTGGTGTTGGGTACGATGAAGGTGGCTCGTGGCAGGGAGCAGTGGTGAAAGATATCTTGGCCACCTCAGAGATGGAGTGTCGCTGATGATTTCTTGGGTACCGTACGTCTCGTCACGATGGTTGGCGGCAGGGAGCAGAAGATCAAAGATGGTCATGAAACCCACACAGGGTACGGTACCCCTCTCAGCCGAGTTCCATCCGCCAGACCATCTACTTGCTCCGAATCGCAACCCGTGCACCCTGCTTCGGAGCCGGCTCTGTCCCCGGCCTCTTAGTCTCGTACCGCCGACCCCAACCACCGAACCACCCCCGAACCAAGGCCACAAGAGGTGGAATAGAGACGGCAACGACCACAGAAAGAAGCACATGGGTGATCCGGTTCTGCCTCTGCACTCTCTGCACCATCTGCCGTATCTCCTCCACCGCCTCATCCCCCTCCTCCTCCAGGTCCTCCACCCCCTCCTCCTTCCCCTGCTCCTCCTCCTCTGCCTCTGCCCGTTGTTTCCGCACACCAAGACCGCCATCCGCTCTCTTTCTTACTGCCACCACGCCACCTTTTACCCCGGCTCTTCCAGTTGACTTCAGACCCAAAGCTTCTTCTCTAGATTCGCCTTCCACTCTTCCTGCTCCTCTTTCCCCTCGTCCGTCTCCTCCCGTACTCAGCTGTATTGACTTTGCCTCCTGCTGCTCCTGTTGGAAGGGGATTTGCTGTTGCTGCTGCTGCTGGCTGTGTTGAGAGGTGGCACTGGTACTGCTGGAGCGAGTGAGGGAGGCGGGGTCAGGGGAGGAGGAGGAGGCCACGGGGGAGAGGCGGAAGGAGATGGGCGAGGAAGACACGAGGGAGGGGGAGCGCTTGTGCTCGTCCATAGGACTGGAGTTCTGGAGAAGCAGGGGGAGGGAGGGTAGAGGGAGGGAGGGGTGAATTCGAGGCGGCGCCTTACCCATGGGCGAGGAGGACACGAGGGAGGGCGAGCGTGTGTGCTCGTCCATTGGGCTGGAGTTCTGGAGAAGCAGGGGGAGGGAGGGTAGAGGGAGGGAGGAGCACAGGGAGGGAGGGGGATTTGGGCACAGCAAAGATGGGCGAGGAGGACACGAGTGAGAGGGGAGTGCTTGTGATCGTCCAGAGGGCTGGAGTTCTGATGGGGAAGAAGCAGGGTGGAGGGAATGAGGGGTGGATAGATTAAGTCAGGAAAGAGGGGTAAGTGAATGGGGAAGAGAAAAGGGATAGGAGGAGCAGAGGAGGAAAGAGGGTGCAGGATAGAGCAAGAGATAAGGTTAGGGAGGAACAACAGAGACAGTTTCGGACAGAAGGTTTTGAGTTGCAGAGTGTCTCCCACATGCTCCTGTTCTAAGACATCTCGAAACTCACACCCCACCTCTTCTCACCTCTTCGCACCTCTTCTCACCTCTTCTCACCTCTTCTCACCTCTTCTCACCTCTTCTCACCTCTTCTCACCTCTTCTCACCTCTTCTCAAGAGGTCACCACACACATACACACATTACATAATGGCAGCCATCTCTGAATCCAGCAGCTGCACCTGCACTGCACGCCATGACAGCTCATCCATTCACGCATACATGATACGTTCCGGCCACTTCCCATCCCGCCTCGCCACAGCACATCCCACCTTGCCTCACCACATTAGACCACGCAGCACCACTTAACAGCATGGCGGCCATCTTTGCCTCCAGCAGCTGCACCTGCACTGCTTGCTATGAGGGGACTCATCCATGCACACACGCGATACATCTCAGCCACATTCCACCTTGCCTCACCACATCTCACTGCACATCACTGCATATCACCGCACATCACCGCATACCATCATGGCAGTCATCTTCGCCTCCAGCAGCTGCACCTGCACTGCTCGCTGCTCCGCCTCCCTCTCCGCCTGCTCTGCCCTCCTCTCCGCTGCCTGCGGGGAAGGAGGGCAAAAAAGAGACGGATTGGAGAAAACGGGAGGTTAGGAAGAGGGAGAAGCAAGCACACCTCCCTATCTCTCCACCTTTTCTGCCCGCCTCCCTGCTGCCTGCGAGAAAGGAGGCACAAAAACAGACACGCATAGAGAATGGAGGCTCAGGAAGAGTTCTGACTCCTGAGCCACCTCAAGACTGTGTGAGCCGCCTGAAAGAGCTTCTGTTTTGAGCCTCTACAGCCTCTGTCAGCCCTATCAGCTCCTCATCGCCTCAACCCCAAGCCTCTCCTCCAACCCATAAATCACGCCCCCCCCTCTCACAACCCCACCGCACCTCCACTGCCTCTGTCAAGCGAGTGACGTCCTCTTAGTGAGCGACTATGGCCCAGCCTCAGGCCCACACCATTTCAACCCAGAGGCTTCACCTTTCCTCCCCCAACTCCCATCGGTCAACTTCCATCCTACCCTCAGCCCCCACTGCACACCTCCACGGCCTCTGTCCGGCGAGAGACGTCCCTAAATGAGCCACGCCTGCCCCACCCCTTTCAGCTCCTGATAGCCCCAACCCCATACCTGCCTCTCCTCTCCCAATTCCCGCCCCACCCCACCCACACCACAGCCGCTCCCCTGGCGCACCTCCACGGTCTCCATGAGACGAGTGACGTCCTCTTGGATGAGTGACGCCTGGCCCAGCTCCAGAATCTCCTTACAGCCTCAGCCCTCCACCTCCCCCACAGCCCATAACTCTCACCCTCCTCCCCCCAACATCCCCCCCCCAGCGCACAGCCCCACCCACAGCCCCCCCAACGTACCTCCACGGTCTAACTCCCCTCAATTCCCGCCCCACCCACAGCCGGCCCCCCAGCGCACCTCCACGGTCTCCATGAGGCGAGTGGCGTCCTCCTGGGTAAGTGACGCCTGCCCCAGCTCCAGAAGCTCCTCACAGCCTCAGCCCTCCACCTTCCCCACAGCCCATAACTCTCACCCTCCTCCCCCCAACATCCCCCCCCCAGCGCACAGCCCCCCACCCACAGCCCCCCCAACGTACCTCCACGGTCTACCTCCCCTCAATTCCCGCCCCATCCACAGCCGGCCCCCCAGCGCACCTCCACGGTCTCCATGAGGCGAGTGACGTCCTCCTGGGTAAGTGACGCCTGCCCCAGCTCCAGAAGCTCCTCACAGCCTCAGCCCTCCACCTCCCCCACAGCCCATAACTCTCACCCTCCTCCCCCCAACATCCCCCCCCCAGCGCACAGCCCCACCCACAGCCCCCCCAACGTACCTCCACGGTCTAACTCCCCTCAATTCCCGCCCCACCCACAGCCGGCCCCCCAGCGCACCTCCACGGTCTCCATGAGGCGAGTGACGTCCTCCTGGGTAAGTGACGCCTGCCCCAGCTCCAGAAGCTCCTCACAGCATCAGCCCTCCACCTTCCCCACAGCCCATAACTCTCACCCTCCTCCCCCCAACATCCCCCCCCCAGCGCACAGCCCCCCACCCACAGCCCCCCCAACGTACCTCCACGGTCTACCTCCCCTCAATTCCCGCCCCATCCACAGCCGGCCCCCCAGCGCACCTCCACGGTCTCCATGAGGCGAGTGACGTCCTCCTGGGTAAGTGACGCCTGCCCCAGCTCCAGAAGCTTCTGCACCACTGACTCGTCACACTCCATCTGATAGGCGGAGAGAAACAGAGGGGGGAGAGGGGAGAGAGGGGACAAGGGGAGCGGGATGGAGTTGAGTTAAGGCCTGCCCCAGCTCCAGAAGCTTCTGCACCACTGACTCGTCACACTCCATCTGATAGGCGGAGAGAAACAGAGGGGGGAGAGGGGAGAGAGGGGACAAGGGGAGCGGGATGGAGTTGAGTTAAGGCCTGCCCCAGCTCCAGTAGCTTCTGCACCACCGACTCGTCACACTCCATCTGATAGGCGGAGAGAAACAGAGGGGGGGGGGGGGAGAGGGGAGAGAGGGGACGAGGGGAGCGGGATGGAGTTGAGTTAAGGCCTGCCCCAGCTCCAGTAGCTTCTGCACCACCGACTCGTCACACTCCATCTGATAGGCGGAGAGAAACAGAGGGGGGAGAGGGGAGAGGGGAGAGAGGGGACGAGGGGAGCGGGATGGAGTTGAGCTAAGGCCTGCCCCAGCTCCAGTAGCTTCTGCACCACCGACTCGTCACACTCCATCTGATAGGCGGAGAGAAACAGAGGGGGGAGAGGGGAGAGGGGAGAGAGGGGACGAGGGGAGCGGGATGGAGTTGAGCTAAGGCCTGCCCCAGCTCCAGTAGCTTCTGCACCACCGACTCGTCACACTCCATCTGATAGGCGGAGAGAAACAGAGGGGGGAGAGGGGAGAGGGGAGAGAGGGGACGAGGGGAGCGGGATGGAGTTGAGCTAAGGCCTGCCCCAGCTCCAGTAGCTTCTGCACCACCGACTCGTCACACTCCATCTGATAGGCGGAGAGAAACAGAGGGGGGAGAGGGGAGAGGGGAGAGAGGGGACGAGGGGAGCGGGATGGAGTTGAGCTAAGGCCTGCCCCAGCTCCAGTAGCTTCTGCACCACCGACTCGTCACACTCCATCTGATAGGAGGAGAGAAACAGAGGGGGGAGAGGGGAGAGGGGAGAGAGGGGACGAGGGGAGCGGGATGGAGTTGAGCTAAGGCCTGCCCCAGCTCCAGTAGCTTCTGCACCACCGACTCGTCACACTCCATCTGATGGGCAGAGAGGGACAAGGAATGGCAGACGAAGGGGAATGGAGCACCGAAGGCAGAGGGAGGGGAATAGAGTCACGGTGACGCCTGGCCCAGCTCCAGCAGCTGCTGGAGCACTGAATCGACCCATTCCATCTGATGGGCGGAGGAGGGAGAGGGGAATGGGAAGTGGAAAGGGGAGGCGGAGAGGAGAGGCACACTCACGCCTGCCCCTGCTCCAGCAGCTCCTGCACCACCGACTTGTCACACTCCATCTGATGGGCACAGAGGGCGAATGGGGAGGGGGTACCGAGGGGGAGAAGGGGGGAGAGGAGGGGAGAGGGGGGGAGGGAGGGGGAATGGTGGAAGAGGGGGACGGAATTGAATTTATGCCTGGCCCAGCTCCAGCAGCTCCTGCACTACAGGTGAAGGGGAGGGGGAGGCTAAAGAGAAGCAAGGGAAGGGCAGGGAAGGGGACAGCAGGAGCGTTTGATTTGAATAGCATGGCATGCAACAGCATGGCTCACCGTGACAGGGGTGGTTGATCGGCCTGGTGCATCTTCATCGCTGTCGTTACTGTGCCTGCTGAGACGCATTGCACGGCACGGTACAGTACGGTACGACACGGTACGGTACGACACGGCACGGCATGGCATGACTCACCATGACAGGGGTGGTTGATCGGCCTGGAGCATCCTCATCACTTTCATTGCTGTGCCTGCTGAGACGCACCAACAGCAGTGAGGGAAGGAGGATGATCAGGTGAGGTGAGGTGATGAGGAGGATAAGGTGAGTCAGCTCAAAGCGCCCTGGAGCATCTTCATCGTTGGCATTGCTGAGCCTGCTGAGACAGCAGCAGCAGTGAGGGGAGGAGGAGGATAACTTAAGCCTGCTAAGCCTCCTTTCAATTCAGCTCAAAGCGCCTTGGAGCATCTTCATGGCTGTCATTGCTGAGTCTGCTGAGACGCACGAACACGCACAGGCATCAACACATTGATACAAGAGCAGCACCTTAGCAAGAGCCGGCTCGAGAGGGAGAAAACAGGTTGCAAAGAAGCTTCACAAGCCGATCCACATGAGTGCAACTCGAAAGCCCAGGGAACGTGCAGCACAAGACACACTGCCCACTCGCCTTCCAGTTAGGCCACACAAGCTGCTCACCACCAAACCCCTTTGCACCGCCTCCCCACCTCTCTGCGTCTCTGCTCTTGAAGCTGCCTTCTCTCGCTGGTGACATGCCAGACGCCTCTGACTCCCACCGGCTCTCCACTTCAACTGGGACACCGTGCCGGGGGGGGGGGGGGGGGGGGGGGGCGGAGGGGAAAGGGGGGAAAGGAAAGGGGGTGTGGGGGGAGAGTTGAAATTTGACTCGACTCAGACGCCTCTGACTCCCACCGGCTCTCCACTTCAACTGGGACACTGTGGAGAGAGGTCGGGGTAGGAAGGTCGGGGAGGCGAGGTAAGCGGGAAGGGAGGGGAGCACGGAGGGGAATAGGACGGGCAGGGATGAGGGCGTTAGTAGAGCTCAGGTGAACCCAGCTGTGCAGGGCACTATGCACCAAACCGAGCAGTAGAAGGCTCACCTTCCCCCCTGATTTCACCTGCGCCCTGCCCTCACCTGCCCCTGATTTCACCTGCATCCTTTGCTCGCTCCCCACTGCCCTCACCTGCGCCCTGCTCCAGGCTGCGGTAGAGCTCACAGCGCAGCACCTCACCTGCCCCATGTCCCCTGCCCTCACCTGCCCCATGTCCCCTGCCCTCACCTGCCCCATGTCCCCTGCCCTCACCTGCCCCATGTCCCCTGCCCTCACCTGCCCCATGTCCCCTGCCCTCACCTGCCCCCCCTGCCCTCACCTGCCCCCCCTGCCTTCACCTGCGTCCTGCCCTCACCTGCGCCCTGCTCCAGGCTGCGGTAGAGCTCAAAGCGCAGCACCTCAGATTTTGCCAGCTCGTCGCGCAGACGAGCGCATTCCACCTGCCACGCACATAGGGAGGGAGGGCGGGACGGAGGGAGGGAGGGAGGGAAGGAGGGAGCATTTTGACCAGACTCAAAATACAGCACGTCGTGCAGACGCACACACACACACGCAGGGAGCGAGGGACCGAAAGCGCAAACTCGCACCCATCTCTCTCTCACAGCCCCCTCACCTGCAGGGCGAGCACGCCAGAGTCATCGAGCTCCTCCAGTCGCTCCTCCAGCAGCGCCTGCACCAGGGCTGGATTCATCTCCGCCGCCCGCTCGCCCGCTCTGCGCTTCCACTCCTCTGCGCGCACTCAGGTTAGGGGGAGAGGGTGGGGTGGGGGGGGGAAGGAGGATTTGAGTCACGAGCTCCTCCAGTCGCTCCTCCAGCAGCGCCTGCACCAACGCCGGATTCATCTCCGCTGCCCGCTCGCCCGCCCTCCGCTTCCACTCCTCTGCGCGCCCACGGGGGAGGGGGAGAGGGGAGGAGGGTAAGGGGAGATGGGGGAGGAAGATAGAAGGGCAAGAGAAGGATTTGAGACGTCTCAAAACTCGACTGCTCCAACGCTGTATTCATCTCCGCTGCCCGCTCGCCCGCGCTCCGCTTCCATTCCATGTCTCTGTTCTGTGCGCCCAAGGGTAGGGTGGGGGAGAGGGGGAGGGAGAGGGGAGGAGGGTAATAGGAGGAAGGATTTAAGACGTCTCAAAACAAGGCTGCGCCAAGGTCTAATGCTCGCTCGCCCGCCCTCCGTTTCCACTCCTCTGCACACACACCGGGGAGGCGAGTGGGGGGAAGGAGGGAAGGAGGGGAGTAGGAAAGGAGTCTAAAACTCGTCAGCACCAAGGATGCAATGGGATGCCCTCGAGTCGAATCAAACCGCATCTTAGATGCGCAAGCATGGCATGGCATGGCACGGCACGGCACGGCATGGCATGGGCATGGCAGCCCACTCACCGCAGCGAGAGGCCATGGCTTGCAGCTCCATCTCCAGCGCTGCTGCTTGTGCCCTCGCCTCCTCCACCTGCTTGTCCTGCCAGCCCAGTCACATCAATCACATCACAGCAGACCGGCGAGGCAACGAGACAGATTCGATGCTTGACAAAATTAACAAGCGAACGGAACAGCGAAGAGACAAACGAGCCCTAAATTGTGCAACCGGAAAGGCAATGTAGCAACAGCGTGGTGATGAAGGGCGCCATGTTTCCCTGGAGGCACCTCACAAAACGAAAGGAGGTGTAAGTCGTTGGATGGCAAGAGGAAGGGCTCACAGCAGGGGTGCCATTCTTGAGCTGTTCCTGTAGTAGCAGGTCCTCTAAGGCGTCCCTCTCCTCGCACACCTGCACGCACGCATGGTCACGAGTATCATGTGGGACAAACAATGTTAGAGGCGAGTCGATTAGAGCTGCTCCTGCAGTAGCAGGTCTTTCAAGGCGTCCCTCTCCTCGCACACCTGCACGCATGGTCATGAAGTCACGAAATTCACAAGGGGAGGCACATATGAATGCATGATGGGAATGCACGACGGAAAGGCATGACCGGAATGCATGACGGGAATGCATGACGGGAATGCATGACGGGAATGCATGATGGGAATGCATGATGGGAACGCATGAGGGGAATGCATGATGGGAATGCATGATGGGAACGCATGAGGGGAATGCACGACGGGGATCAACGTTGGGAATGCACTACGGGAACGCATGCGCGTGAGACCATGCGAACACACAGATGCATCAGCGGGTGGTCACACATCGAACATTGCCTGTGAACCAACAGTCACATCAATGCGAGGAGGTACAGGACGGAGATGCGAGCATACGTTGATACAGATACGGATGAGTGCAAAACTACAGTCACCCTGAACCGCGTACGGACTGCATTATTATACATGAGGTTTCAAACACGGAGCTGAACCCTAGAAAAAAGTAACAGAAACGTGGAACGGTGGAGCGACATTAACGAGGACCAATACTTACGAGACTAGCGCGCGGACAGGGCGACGCGGAGACACACCTGTTGGTAGCTCGCTCGAAACTCCTCTAGCTCTCTTCCCATGTCCGATAAGCTGTTGGCCGTTGGACCCTGGTGGCAGCGAAGAGGTACGCGAAAGTGAGTAACGACATCGTCTACGTGTGCGCGATCGGGGGATCGGAAATAGTAAGACTCGCGAGAAAGGAGGATCGCTTTGGAATGCGTTTTGAGACGTCTCAGAAACAGGTGCGCGGTATAGGACGGATGGGATAGCTCGACAAAGAGAATGAAAGAGCTGTTCAAAGTGCCGACATACAAGAAACGACCGCTCCGAGATTTCGTTACAAACCGGGGAGGCCTACGCTGCAGCGCAAGACATGCACTACAAACGCATCGCGGCTCTCTGATATCACAAAGAGACTGGAAAGAAAGGTGTCAACGGATACATCAAAGGAGGTGTATCAGCGGACGCATCGGAGATGCATAGACACGGAAGGCTGTAAGAGAATAAGGACTAGCCTGTGGGACGTAGTACGAAGCCATGGTTGCCGCCATCATCTGAGTGTTCCTCTCATGAAAACAAGGAAAGAATGGTAACCTCTAGACCAGAAGAACCCAGGGGAGGATGTGGATGTGGCTATGCTTTGGGGTATGTGATAAATGTGAGCCAGACGAAGAAGGAAGAGCCGTTGCGTGCACTGAATGCATGTGTGGTTTGGTGTGGGTATGGCTTTCTGCACTGTGCCGAACCGGTTGGGTTTGGTCTATGGCGGAAGTGCGTACGGCTGCCGAACCTGATTTGTGATGCGAGCCTACGGTTCAACGACACTTCAGTTGGTCTGGAGGACCAGCCAGCTGGGATGAGGGCACTATGCGAAATTTTGCGAAGGAATTTGGCGATTCTACAGACCTGGACACAGTCACATGGAACTGACCCACCCCTGCCTTGTGGCTGTGGTCAGCCCGTGGCGTTGCAGCGGAGTTCTCGTGGTCTGGTTGGTTCATTTGCTCCCGTTCGGAAATGGTTTTGTCCCGTCACGTCGATATCAATGTTCTTGCGCAAATAGCGGCTTCGTAGCCCTGTTCGGCAGGCGCATGAGCATCTAGGCTCGAGTTTGGGCTCTGGTTCGGGAGTGGTGCAACTTACGAGACTGTACGGCTCGGGATTTGACAATTTGTTGCTGGCAAGATGTTTCGTTCAATGAACCTTCGCCTCTCAACTGTCCGGGCTGCCCTGCTTGCTAGGTATGGATCAAAACTTTCCTTGACCAATATCGACCCATCCTCCCTGAAAACCTACCAATGAACAACCTGGCGAATCTTCAATGCTGCCCCGCATCAGTGATGCGCGCATGCACGCATCAGTGATGCGTCGGTTTGCCAGGGTAGGATGGTTCCAGGAACGAGGTTTCGGCCCCCAAACCGGGGGCCAAAATGACCGTTCGGCAGTCATTCAGCGTCAGTTCGCTTCGGTGCTCATGCGCCTATACCGGACCTTGATAGCCGATCAAGCGCTTATCTCCGAAGCATCTCGATTGGTCATTCCACTGAAGCCCATTTCCGAGCCTGTGCTCATGCGCCTGCCGAGTACAGCTCTGTTACCCTTCTCGGCATCTCATCAAACCACTCCGGAACTTCGGAATTACGCCTTTCAGAATCCAGCGAGGACGTACTTTCTGGCGGACCCGCCCGTTACACTCACGCGTCGTATCGTGGAAGCAACTCTGGGTGCTGAAAGCACCTGTGTTAACGGCGGACATCCCTCAAACTCCACTTTCTCCGACCCCTCTAAAGGTCACGAAAACGACTCACCTTGAAGTCTACACCATGAGTTTGTGTCAATAAAGCATCACATAGAAACATAGGTTAGCATAAAAAACATCAAGCCACTCCGTTCAGGTCATCTGAGATACAGCAGGTGAGAATACTCCTGGTCCATTGTTGGGCTTCACCAGTCTCGCCTCGCCTCCACAAAATTTCCTTTCATGCATTTTCGAGTGTTGGAAGAACCTTGAGGCAGCACCTAACTTGATTTGGCATTTCCATTTTACGTATGTCTCCACAAGATTTTTGTAACAAACTTGTGAATCATTTCCATGACCTCCGTTCATGCAGTTTGGATTGCAGGAGCTCATGCGACAGCACTGAGTCAAGGAGTGCACTCCCCCCACGCCTCCACATCTTCTCGCACCAATCAGAAACCTCCACCTGGGCATTCCAAGACCCAATAAAACGAGGTGTTGGTCAGGAAAAACGGCCATGAAACATTCTCAGCTAAAAGGCAACAGGAAAAACACCACACAATAAGCGATTATGATCTACCGTACCTCGAGGAATGGCTTGTTGGAGAGGAATTGGCCATCCACAGTGTACTCTCGATCGCCCAAGTCCACCACGAGAGCAAGAGGCGAAGAGTCCACACACGACGACAGCTCCACTTCTAGTGCTGCTGCCCCTGCTATGACACCTTTGGCTGGCCCTGGTGGTCCTGCTAGGCTTCCTTTGGCTGCCCCTGTATCATCCCCCTCTCCTCCTGCCCCTGTGCCTGCTGTGGGCGGTTTCTTGCTCATGCTGGAAATCGCTGCAGAGGAGGAAGCAGCAAGAGCGAGAGCGAGAGAGACACGGGATGGATGTGTGGTGTGAACAGATGGGATGTGGTGGCACCGTTTTTAAGGTGAGCAGGACATACAGGAGGGTAGTCATCCTATTTCGTATTGTCACATTCTCACTCCCTCTCACTCCCTCCAAAACTTAGAAGACATGTGGGACAACGACGGGTTCTCTGTTTGTTTCTTTGGTAGACTCAAAAATAGCTTGAAGAGACATGTGGGACAATGGGTTCTTTGGTTTGTGAGACATCGGACTGACAAAACGCGCATCAGTATACTACTTTTGAGACGTCTCAAAACTCACTCTTTTCCTCCAGGATTTTGAAGACGTGTGGGACAATGGGTTCTTTGGTTTGAGAGACATCGGACACACAAAAACGCGCATGGGACATCACCCAGCACGCACCTGTGATTCGTCCCATGCAGTACCCTGTGCCCCCCATGTGCTCGCCCTTCCTGCCCAGCCGCAGCCGCAAAAAGCATCCCATTGCCTGTGCTGACAGCTCGCCCTGCGCCTGCCACCTGCCATGGGGAAACGGTAGACAGCAGAGAGAATGAATGGGAAGGGTGAATCAGGGATGGCAAGAAATGGGAGGGGCCTGAAAAGGAGATTTAGAGGGAGCAAGAAACACCCCATTGCCTGCGCTGACAGCTCGCTCTGCTCCTGCCACCTGCCATGCGGGGAGATGGTAAGCAGCAGAGGATAATAGCACACAGTGCAGTGAACAGGGCGGGAAAGGGAGAGGACGGGGTAAGGTGACTTGTGAGTCAACTCAGAAAGCAGAGCGCAAGCACACACCATGCACAGTGCACAACGTCACAAGCAATGGGACGGGTCAGATGAGTATGTCAAGGAAATGGGAGGCACCCCTCTGCCTCGAACCCCAGCCCGCCCTGCCCCCTGCCCCCTGCCCCCTGCCCCCTGCCCCCTCCCCCTGCCCCCTGCCCCCTGCCCCCTGCCCCCTGCCCCCTGCCCCCTGCCCCCTGCCCCCTGCCCCCTGCCCCCTGCCCCCTGCCCCCTGCCCCTTGCTCCCTGCCCACTGCCACCCAGCCCACTCATGTCCTTCTGACCAACAATTGTTTTCTCCACCACACACACACCTCTGGAAGTCTCTTCTGGACAGGCGAGCCCCCTCCACCGCCTCTAATAGCACAGCAGGCAGATTCGCTCCTTCTCCCTCTCCTCCTCCTCCTCCTCCTCCTCCTCCTCCTCCTCCTCCTCCTCCTCCTCCTCCTCCTCCTCCTCCTCCTCCTCCTCTTTCCCCCACACCTGCCCCTCGTCGCTCCCTTGCCTGTCCACCTTTCTTCCCTTCCTCCCCATTCTCCTGCCAAACCTCCCCACCTTGACCCCACTGCTTCCGAGTCTGCTGCCGAGCCTCGGGCGTCCGAGCCTGCTGAGTGCCTGCGAGCAGCCACGCCCACTCATACACCGAAGCTGGTGCCAAAGCCGATGCCGAACCTGGCGCCGGAGCTGCTGCCGAGCCTGATGCCAAAGCAAGAGGGTCGCCGGAATGGCAACCTTGCTCTGGTTGATGTGTACCTTCTTCTATGAGGCCCAGAGCATGAGGGTAAGGAGAATGAGGGAGGGGAACATGAGGGGGAGGAGGGGTGACGGGGGAGAAAGTGAGAGGGGAGAAAGTGGTAGGGCCTGTCTCAGCTACCTTTGGAACCTGATGGTTTACTGGTGTCTTCTCAACATCCATGGCTGCTGCTGCTGCTTCTGCCACTTCACCTGCTCCTGCTCCGGCTGCTGCTGCTGTTTCTTCTTCTGTTGCTGCTGCTGAAGCAGCTGCTTTTGCTCCTGCTACGACTGCTGCTGCCATATGAACACGGTCTGCAGTGGTGGCGGCACCACCCGCAGCACCATCCACAGCAACAATACCAACAGCAGCAGTGCCAGCAGCAACAGTGTCATACATAGAGTAACAAGAAGGCAGAGCAGGGGGAAGCGGCGGGACAGCAGCGGGAGGAAGAGCGGAGGGAGAGAATGCAATTACTGCAAGCTCCTTCGGAGCAGAAGGTATAGGAGCAGCGAGAGCAGGGAGAGCGGGAACAACAGGGGGAGTGGGAGCGACAGGAAGGGTGAGGGCAGCAAGGAGTGTGGGTTTGGCAGGAGGGATGGGGGCGTCAGGGGGAGTGGGAGCGACAGGCAAGGTATGGACGGCAGCGGGGGAGGGTGGGGCAGCTATCTCAGGCCCGATCTGAAGTAAGCTCCGTTCCTCCATCAGCACTGCGCACTCTGCCGCCCAGTGGCCGCCGCCCACCCCGCACCAAAGACAAAAATGTGGCTCCGCTTTTGTCCGTCCCATCCTCCTCACCCGCTTCACCCCCCTCACCATCCTCACCACCCCCACCATCCCCTCACTCTCCACACTCTTGCACTCCGCGTCTCCCCCACCACCCCCCTCACTCCCTTTACCCTTGTCTCGGCACTCTCTCCTCCTCCCCTCCTCCAGCCCTGCTCCCTCCTCCCCTCCTCGCATCTCCTCCTTCCCACTCCCCTCTTCGCCCCGTCCTTCCTCCAATTCTTTTCCCTCCCTCCCTTCTTCCCCTTCCCCTTCCCCATTACTCCGACATCCTCCCACCAAAACTCCTCCCAACACCTCTCCACCACTCTCAACCCAGTCACACAGCCGAGCAACCAGCACAAGCACCTCTCCATCACAGGTTTCAGAGCAGCTCAGTACAGTGTGCCCCACCGCCCCACAGAACATGCACTGCGGAGGGCCAATTACAATCTCATTCCCAGTCCCAATGCCATCCCCAGCTTTGACCGCCAACTCCTCCTGGTGTTCAGTTCTCAAAGTTCTCCTGGTAGGATTAACCAGGTCCCGCGATTCTCCCTGCTCCTCCTTTCCTTCTCTCTTATGCATTCCCCCTTCCTCCTCCTGTCTTCTCTCCTCCCTCCTCTCGCCTTCCCTGTCCTCCACCTCCTCGCCCTCCTCCTCCGCCTCCTCTACCTCCTCCTTCTCCTCCTCCCCCGCCTCCTCCTTCTCTTTCTCCTCCTCCACCTCCCCCTCTACCCATCCAGACAAACCCAGGTCGCGCTCTTGCTGTCCAATCAGCTCATGCCACGTGGCAGCATCCTGAAGCCACGATCTGATAGCTGCCACGTTGGCAGAGTGGTGCGACCAGCTGAGAGACTGGGGCCCAGGAGAGGGAAGGAGAGAAGGTGGGGAGAGGGGGCTATTGAGGGGGAGGTGGGGAGGTGGGGAGAGGGGGCTATTGAGGGGGAGGTGGGGAGGTGGGGAGAAGTCAGTGCCGAAATGAGGTGGCTGATTTGCCTCAGCTGAGGGCGGAGGAGGCGGGGAGGGAGAGGGAGGAAGCTGTAGGTTTGGACGCTGAGGGCTGAAGGGAGCAGCAGGAGCAGCAGCAGGAGCAGTAGGAGCAGCAGCAGGAGCAAGAGCAGGAGCAGCAGCAGCAGCAGCAGAAGCAGAAGGAGCATTAACAAGAACAGCAGCAGCGGACTCAGGAGCCGGAGCAGGAGCATGAGCAGCAGCTGCACCACCAGCACCACCATCACCGAGAGAAGCAGCAGCACCAGCAGCAGCTGCTACATCATCATCATCATCAGCAGCAGCAGCAGCAGCAGCAGCTAGATCAGCAGCACAGTCAGAAGCATCACCAGGTGCATTGTCAGCGGCAGCTGGCAGCATATCAACATCATCCACAGAGCCCGCCTCAACGGAGTGTGAGGCCCTGGCGCCCTCCTGCTCCTCGTCCAACACTGCCCTCCGCGCCACTGCCCTTGCTATCAAACACGCCCTCTCCACCAATCCACCCTGCTCGCCCTCTCCCTCTCCATATTGCTCCCCACCGCAGCCGCCACCAGCAGCATCAGCACCAGTACCAGCACCGGTACCAGCTCCAGCACCAGCGCCAGCGCCAGCGCCAGCACCGGCAGCATCACCACCACCAGCGCCAACAGCAGCATCAGCACCAGCAGCAGCAGCACCACCACCAGCACCACCACCACCACCACCACCAGCACATCTCCTCTGCCTTTTGCCTCTGCGTTTCCTGCTCCACACCTTCCCAGGCGCCACCCTCTTCTGTGCAGAGGCACCAGCGCACCGGCTAGCTGCAAACATCGAGTCTGAAGCTGCCGCTCCCGCTCCTGCTCCTGCTGCTGTTCCAGCGCCCGCACCCGCTCCCACTGGTGCTGCTGGTGGTGCACGGACGCACGATCCTGCTGCCTCTACTGCCCTCCTCCTTGACGGTTGGCGCCTGCCTGTGAGGAACGGAGCGAATCGAGGCATGCTTGCTACGACGTGCCTCGCCGCTTCTGCTGCTTCTGCTGCACACACTACCTGTTGCTGCTCATCGTGCTGCTCTCGCTCTTGCTGCTCCTGCTCCTGCTGCTGACGCATTTCGTTTCCACAACCCGTAAGACCACCTCCCACGTACCCCGCTGCCCCAACCTGTTGCACTCCTCCCACCACATCCCGCCCACCTGCGCCCAAACCTGCCAGCTGATGTGGTGCTGCTAGTAATAGACCCTGCTCCCCTCCCCTCCTCCCAACCCCCCCCCTCTCTCCCTGCTTTGCCCAGTGCCAAACGAGGCCCGATCAGCCGCTCTATCCAGCTCGCCCCGTTTCCCCTCTCCACCGAACCCCTCCCCCCGCTTCCCCTTCCCCCGCTTTCCCTCCTCCCACCTCCACCGCTTCTCACTCCCACTGCTTCCGCAGCAGCCCCTTCCCCTTCCCCCGATCCTGCTCCTGCCCTTGTGACCCCAGGAGGAGGCTCTACCCCCACTGCAGCAGGGGGAGGCTCTATCTGTTGATCATCTGTGCCCTGTTCCGTCACCACGCCCAGGCCGCTGCCGCCCAGGCCACTGCCGCCCAAACCGCTTCCACCCAAACCGCTGCCGCCCAGACCGCTGCCGCCCAATCCGCTGCCACCACCCAAAACGCCTGAAACACCACCACGAATGCCACCTGACGACCCAGCTGCAACACCGCCTGTGATTCCACCTGAAGCACCACCTGCGATTCCACCTGAAGGCCCACCCAAAATTCCAAGAAACCCTAAATCAGGGACAGGGCAGCTGTTGCTCCCCACCCCTCCGCTGCCACTGTTGGCATGCCTCCGCCCATATCCTCCAATGCCCCTTCCCTCGCCCCCTCCCCATCCTATGGCCCCTCCCCGGCCCACGCCCCCGTCTCCGCTCAGCAACCCAGGCCCTTCCACGCCCCCTTGCCCCCTCACGTTGTTCCCCGCCACTTCCCCCCCCACATGGTTTCTCACAGGCGAGAACTGCAGAGGACTCTGTCCCAGTCTCGTCCCCGCCTCCCCCCTCCGTCCCCTGCCTCCTACCACCACCCCCTGGCCCCCTCCTCTTCCCCCACCCGATTCCCTCTGCTGACTGCTCCTGCTTATCCTCCTCCTCCTCCTCCTCGTCCTCGCCTCCGCACTCCCTCTGCTGCTCCCTCCCGAGCTCCCGCCGTCCCTCCCCTGCAGCAGCCGCAGCACGAGCATATCCCTCTCCCTCCACCCTCTAGGCCAAACGCCACTAACGCCCCTAACGCCACTAACGCCCCTGACGTCCCTAACGCCCCTAGCGTCCCTAATGTTCCTTACGCCTCTAACGCCCCTAATGTCCCAAACGCTTGTAACACCCCTCTGCCTCTCGTCCCTGCCCCTCTGCCTCTCCGCCCTCTCCCCTCCCTCCTGCCCCTCCTCTCTCCTCCTCCCATCCCATCCGCTCCCCTCCTCCCCCGTGGCGAACTCACTGCTCCCACCCTCCCCTTCATCAGCTGTGAAGCTCCCCTGGGAGGTCCATCCCTCGCCCTCCCCTAGACTCTCCCTCAGATGCATCAACAGAGGCCCTGTGGGGACCTCGCCCTCTCCTTCCCTACGCGCTCTCCCTCCCACTCCTCCCACTCTCCCAACTTCTTCCAAACCCCCCGCCACCCCCACTGCCCCGCCTTGCACCTGCTGCCAAAACCCTGGCATTCTAAACGCCCGCCCCTGCCGCCCCTCGCCTCCTTGAAAACCCAACTGCGGCCGCCACAGCCCCTGCTGCTGCCACTGCTGTCCCTGCTGCCGCTGCTGTCCCTGCTGCCGTTGCTGCCGCTGCTGCCCGTGCTGCCCCTGCTGCCGTTGCTGCCGCTGCTGCCGCTGCTGCTGTGCACCTGTGAGTGCCATAGGCCCAGGAACAGAAAGCTGGTCCTCTGACTCTGCTGCCGCTGCCACTGCCAGTGCGTGCTCTTCCAATCCCCCACTGTCGCCCGCTGGGACCTCTATGGGCTCTGGTCTCGCTCTTGGCCGACGTGTCGTGGTAAAGAGGGGAGCCACGGCAGGTGTGGGAGCGGATGCAGCAAGTGCAGCTGCCGCTGCCATTGCCAGTGCGTGTTCGTCCGAGCCCCCGCTGGTGTCGCCTGCTGGGACCTCTATGGGCTCTGGTCTCGGCCTTGGGCGGCATGTTGTGGTGGGGTGGGGAGCCACGGCAGGGGTGGGAGCGGTGGCGACAAGTGTAGCTGCTGCTGCTGCCACTGCCAGTGCGTGCTCGTCTGATCCCCAAATGTCGCCCGCTGGGACCTCTATGGGCTCTAGCCTCGCTCTTGGCCGGCGTGTCGTGGTAGGGGGAAGAGCAGTGGCAGGAACAGGAACAGTGGCAGGGGTGAGAGCGGTGGCAGCAGTTGTTGCTGCTGCCGCTGCCACTGCCAGTGCGTGCTCGTCTGAACCCCCACTGCCGCCACCGCTCGTGTTGCCCGCTGGGACCTCTATGGGCTCTGGTCTCAGCCTTGGGCGACGTGTCGTGGCAGGGACAGGAGCAGTGGCAGGGGTGGGAGCAAGAGGAGCAGCAGGTGCACCGGCCGCAGCAGGTGAGATGGCAGCAGCAACGGGTGATCTGGCAACAGCAACGGGTGATCTGGCAACAGCAACGGGTGATCTGGCAACAGCAACGGGTGATCTGGCAACAGCAACGGGTGATCTGGCAACAGCAACGGGTGATCTGGCAACAGCAACGGGTGAGGTGGCAACAGCAACAGGTGAGGTGGCAGCAACTGGTGCAGGGGCAAGCGGAGGAGACACAGCAGAGGCAGTGCCTTCTACTGCCGAAAGATCCGTACCAGGCTGGACAGTAGGCACCCCAGCACGAGTGACAGGAGAAGGGGCAGCAGGAGCAACAGGAGAAACAGGAGGAACTGGAGGGACAGCAGAGACAGGAGGGACAGGAGGGACAGGGGAGGCAGGAGAGAGAGGAGAGAACGGAGAAACAGGTGGCATGGGTTCCTTAGGCTCGTTAGGCTGCTGACTGGATCCTCTGGTCTCATTAGGGTCACCAGGTTCAGCCAAAGAAGGCAGAAACGCAGGCAGTGCTGCGAATTGGGCAACTGCAAGGCAACCAGATGGCGCAACAGCAGCAGCAGAAGCAGAAGCAGCACTAGCACGGCATAGAGGAGAAGCAGCGCCCCCACTGCCACCATTTCCAGCAACAGCAACAGCAGCGTGCAACAACAGGGCATCAGAAGGTGTGATTCGTGCCGGTTCCTGCACACCCCTCTCGAGCCCAGCAGGATTCGCAGCAACGCCAAGGCCAGCGCCAGAAGCACCATTGCCGTCCCTATCACGAGCCCCACCCGCACTGCCGTCAGAAACCTTTCCATGACCCTTTCTCCCTGCCTTCTCTGCGTCAGCCACCGCAAGTTTGGGCCTTTTGGCACTTCCCTTTGTGACTAAAACTGCGGCACCAGCACCAGCACCAGCACCAGCACCAGCACCAGCACCAGCACCAGCACCAGCACAAACACCAGCAGTGTGCACGGGTGTCTCAAACTCCTTGCAGTTTCTTGGCTGGCTCACAGCCCGTGGTTGGCTTACCACCCTTGGTTGCCCTTCTTCCCTTGCCTCACCAACTCTTTGTTGCTGACCGACCGGTCTTGCCTGGCTCACAGCCCGGACCCACCCTCCAAACGATCCGCCAACTGCCTTCCTCTGCTGCCCCACTGAGCCTACTTGTGAGCCGCCTGGTCGGCACACAGAGCGGTTCAAATGGGTGCTGTGTGGCGGTTCGACAGCAGGAGACGGGTCGGCAGGACGAGGCAAGTCGGGTTTCGTAGTGGTGGCGGTAGTGGGCAGGGCGGCAGCAGGAGAGGAAGGGGTTGGAGGGGTAGCGAGAGCAAGGGCTGTTTGCAGCAAAGGACCTGATGTATCCAGGACCGGTCCAGATGCAACGAATCTCGGGAGAGAGGTGTGACGTGTCATCTCAAGCACAAACTCGTCCCACTCGCCTCCTGCCTCCCCCCTCACACTCTCCCCCCTCGCACCCTCCCCCTTCTCACCCTCCCCCCCTTTCCCACAACCACCACTCTCTTTCTCCCCACTCCCACTCCCCTCCCTCTCCACAACCCTGCGCTTCTCCATACATCCACCCGCCCGGCCTCTACTCGCAGACTCCGTATCTCCACCATTTATCCCTGTGACTGCCCCTGTCCCTGTCCCTGCCCTTGCCCTTGCCCTTGCCCCTGCCCCTGCCCCTGCCCCACCTTCGCCTCCCCCCCCACCTGTGCACCCGCGTTCTTCCCCTTCCGCGTCCTCGCCAAACGCCTGCCACCCGCACGACACAGGCACCTCAAGCCGCCGCGCCAGTCCCCCAGGCGGAGTTCCCGGGAGAGGGGTTCCAACAGGCGGAGTCCCCGCGGATGGAGCCCCCCCAGGCGGAGTTCCTGCAGGTCTCTTTCTCCGCTCCACACGTGACTCAGGCGATTTCTGACCCTGCAACTCCGCCCCCTGCTCCCCCTGACTCCCCTCCCCAACCTGCCTCCCCTCCGCCCCCTGTTCCCCCTGCTCCCCCTGCTCCCCCTGCTCCTCCAGCTGCCGCTTCCTGCTGCTTTGACTAAACGCACAGCCGCTGGACTGTTGTTTTCTTGACTCTAGAACGTAATCACTCGTCCTGCTCGGGTGATTGTGAACCTTCCATGTGCTTGAGTCTCTACCATCCTCCCTCCTTCCCCCGGCCTCCGCAGTTCCGCCTGCTACTCTTCCACCAGCAGGCCCCCCTCCCCTTTCTCCTCCCCAGACGTTCCCCCAAACGCCCGCGCGCCCATGCCCGTCCCCTTCCGCCAGCGCCCTTCCGCCCATGCCACCACCTCCCCCCGCGCCCTCCACTATGTACGACAGACCGTAATCCCCTTCCCCTCGCCCGCCGCTCCCCCACCCGCCGCTCTTCCCCCTGCTGCTCGAGCTCCCGCTTCCCGCTCCCCCTGTTCCACGCTCGCCCCTCCGCTCCCCTTTCTGAAGCCCCTGCTCACCGGCGGAACCAGGCGCGGGGGCGGAAGGAACGCCTCCGCGCGCAGAGGGGGAACAAAGGCCTCCGCGCGCAGAGGCGGAGAGCGACCGGGACCCTGATCTTGACCCGGGCTGCGGTATCTTGAACTCGCCCCCTCTAACCCGCGGACCCGCGGACTCCCTCCCCTCGCTCCGCTCCCCGCGCGAGGTACCCGCGCTGCCTAACCCCCTGCAAACTGGCGGACCAGGGGCCTTGAGAATACTCCGAGGCGGGTAACTTGAGATCCCAAGGCCGGGGCGGCTGCAGCTCCTACTCCGTCCTACACTTGGCGGCGGATTAGTTACCCCCCTGGAGGCTGACTGGCTCCGCCTTATCAGGCCTTCCGCCTGAGTTTGAGTCGGTTGAGAGGGATGAGAAGGTTGAGTCTCTTGAGTAGGCTGAGCCAGTTGAGTGGTATGAATGGGTTGAGAAGGATGAAAGGGTTGAGTCTGTTGTGACGGTTCCCAGGCAGAGCGCCGTTTGAGCGACCGCGTCGTTTCCAATCCCTCCCGCTCCTCCCCGCCAATCCTTTCCCGGAATCCCCCACCTTCTACACTCTCCCGCCCCAGCGCCCTAAGGTTCGGTCCATGCGCCGGAACAGGAAAGGCGGTGACGGCAGCGGAGGCGGAAGCGGAAGCGGAGGCGGAAGCGGAAGCGACGGCGAAAGCGGAGGCGGAAGCAGACGCGGACCCTGTGAAAAGCGCTGGGCCTTGCCACAAGTCGTAGCCCTCTCCACCGCCAGTCCGCCCACCCCGCCGACGCTGCACGTTCCGCGCGCCCTCATCTGCCGCCGCCGCTCCGCTTCCGCGCGCTGACGAAGCCGATACAAGGTGCGGTTGCGCGGGAAAGGCTTGTGCTAGGGGCACGCGGCCTATCCCCCCAGCCAATTCCGCCATCAGCGCTATTGCCGCCCAGTCTTCCCAGCCCGGGTGAGTACCCCCTTGCGCCACCGGAGCTGTCAGCGCGTCAGGCGCCGCTGCAGACGCCGCCTCTGCAGGGGCTGCGGGGAAAGAGGGAGGGAGTAGCGCGGAATCTGCGGCGGGAGATGAAAGGGGGAAGAGCGGAAGCAGTCGGGAGGTTGTGAGGGGAACCACATCATTCTCGCTGGCGCCCAAACTGCTCGACTCTATTCCAATCCGCCGCGCTTGGGGTGAGCTTGCGGCGCTGCCGTTCCTCCCGCGGCTTCTGCTGCCAACCTCCCCGCGGCTTCCGCTGCCAACCTCCCCGCGGCTTCCGCTGCCAGCCTCCCCGCGGCTTCCGCTACCATCCCGCCCGCGGCTTCTGCCACCATCCCGCCCGCGGCTTCCGCTGTCCTCACGCCCGCGACTTCCGCTTCGCTCAATCAGAGGCGTCCACGCGCTGAGATACGGATGCGCGGGCTCCTGTCCCCGTTCGCCGGTCGGGAAAGCTGCGTCCCGCGAAGCCCCTGCGCGCGCGTCTGTCGCAGTTTGCTGGAGTGGTTGCGGTTCAATCCCCGTGATTGGTCCCAACTGAGGTGGATTATTCCAAAGCAATGCACCAGGCATGCCCATTGGCCAGGACGGCGGCGCCACGTCAGAAGACGCCACGTCAGCTGCTGCAGTGGAAATCGTTCTAGCCGTTACAGAACCAGCGGCTTCGGATGACCCGAGTCGATACCTAGTGGGAAATCCATGCGAGCCTGGTCCCGTTGGAGACGGCGCGAAAAGCGGTCCTTGGGAAAACGGCCTCGATACCAGTCCATAATTCTCGGCAGGTAATTGGGACTGCGAGCCTGACCGACGCTCTGATTGCCAGCCTAAGCGACGCTCTGGTTGCGAGCCTGAGTCACGCACTGAGAAACGGCCTACGGACGGTTCTTTGGGAGACGGTGCTGACATCAGCGGTTCGTGACTAAAAGGTGCTGAAACCGACAACGGCGGTCCTGAGAATGGCGGAGGTTGAGCGTGTGAGGTCGGGGATAGAAGCGACTGGACGAACGGCTGGTCTATCAGGTCGAGCGTGAGGTTCTCTGCTGCGGGAAAAGCTTTGCTCTTTGGTGCTGCGTCGTGCATTGGAGCCGCCTGGACGGGTCGCTCAGAGTCAAGAGGACACGACGAGTCCATCGCGACCGTTGGTTCGGCGAACGGAGGGTGGAGATGCGGAGGGGTGAGGGGTCTAGGCGAATCGGGTCGGCTGTTCCAGCCAGTGTCGGGATTCCAAGTCCAATGAGAATTCTCCATTGTTAGACGGCTTAGATAAATCGTCTCGACCGCCTTTCTCGGGGGAATGCCTAGTAGTGGTGCTTCGGGTGGTGTTTACTCTATCGAACTTATTCCGTTTTGTGCTTAGAGACTCCTGTGGAATGGGACACACTCGTTCTGTACTACTCGCAACAGGGGGAATGAGTGAGAAGAGAACGAAGAGACGCGGCTGACGCAACAGCTAAGCTACTCACTTTGCTGGTAGACCCACAGGTTTTTCTTCAAGTCGGTTAGTCCAACGGATCATAAAAAGACAAATGCATCATCTTCCTTCCGCTCAGCGCTTGTATCTGCTTCTTTATGGCAAATGTAAGATCAGGACATAATTCTATGAAATTATGATGTCTCACCGCAAGTCACGCCCCATCACAGACACCAAGGAAACCGTCGATTGCAAACGTCACGTGGCTCTCGTCTCATCCTGGTAACAACCCCAATGCCAGACGAACCGCGACCCAATGAGAAGGGTGTGGCCGTCGAGTCGCCTGCGCTGGCAAAAGGTAACCTCGAGGACAAACCTTTTTTGCCATAGCGGTGGCTGTAGAGTGGATGCCTGGAGTGTGTGTTGTGGCTGCTGCTGGCAAAAACAGGGAGTTTCCTTTCCACGCGGAGGCGGCACAGTAGAGCAGAGTGTCGGTCGGTCCTAGAAAGTTACTTTCTTCTCTTCCAACAGGCCGAATCCATCACAACTTCAGGTGCAAGAGATGGGGGCACTGCTGAATCCTCCTCGTGAGGAAACCCGCGTCATGCAATGAGAGCTTGCTGGGAAACCCAATCCCAATGCTGCCTACTTTTGATTTTTCACGACCCGCGTAACAATCGCATGTGATATGCATGTGAATCTCACGTGATGCGCTTGTAAAAGGCGAATGAGCAGTCGACAGCTCGAACTATCTGACTATGTGAAGAAGCTCCTGGAAGCAAGCCCTTACAATAATTTTATTTGTTGAACTCGTTTGCTTTTCCGAGGTACCCAGTACTAGACAAAAGGAATCCAACCCGTCGGGAACCAAAATTATGCGCGGAAATAAGGGAATCTATTCAAATTGATCGCGAAATCCATGGATAAAGACAGGAACTTGGTTCTGAATGGGTATTCCATTTTTCTTATTTGACGGCTGTACTTGGGCCAATGATCGCTTCAGAAAGTAGGCATTGCCAGCCTTTTTAGCATTTGGTCAAAGGAACAAAGTTCCAACGCGTGGCAACATCACAAGCACCTGGCCAATAGATCAGCCAAGAAAATGTGATCTTCCAACACGACCCAAGGCTGCGAAAAGTCTCGCAACTGTTCATCTAAAGCAGTTATGCACGGTATTGTGCGTTCGAAAGCGGTTTTATCACCTCCCCACTTTGAAACGAAACTCATGGGTATGAACTGCAAATTGCACTTCTCTAAAAGGGCTTCGATACACTGTTATTTTTTGCTTGATTTCTTGTTTTCTGTTAGGGTTTAAATGGTTTCAAAATTCCCGAAAAAACTGCTGGTTGCGCTATAACTCTAGCTAGTGGAGGTGGTGGCGGTGGTGGCAGTGGTGGCGGGAGTGGGGGCTTTGGTGGCGGCAGTGGTGGCAGCGGTGGGGGTGGCGGTAGTGGGGGCAGTGGGAGTGGTGGCGGTCGGGCTGGAGCTATACAGCGGGGAGGTTCTAGAGGAGGCCAGAGGCATCAGCAGCAGCGTCGGAGCAAGACCCCGTCGCCCCAGCAGCTTCGTGAGTGGTTTTCTCAGCGTGGGGCGTCTGGGGGTAGTGGTAGCTGCCCGTATGTCAATCGCACGGGTGACCGTGCTGGTCAGACATGCGGGGAGCCTCACACTCAGCACCTCTGCTTCTCCCGCCTCGACGACGCTTGGCGCGCAGAGTTTGGTGACGAGGCTGAGCGCCCTCGCTGGGCAGAGCTGCTTAGGTCTGCAGTTGCTATCTTTGACGTTGACTATGATGCTATCCTTGCTGCAACGTATGCCTTGTATGTTAGTGCTGAGGGTGACTGTTACCTGTGTGTGCCGCCTGTCCCAGGTATAGAGGCTGCTGCTCTAGATGCTAGTGAGTCTGCTCTCCCTGGTACTGCGCCTGCTGAGGCCTTGCACACCTTTACGCTGGAATCAGGTGCTTCACGCTGTTTCTTTCGTGACAGAACCACCCTCACTCCTCTCTCAGCACCTGTACCGGTCAGACAGGCTGACCCCTCAGGGGGCCCAGTCCTTGCCCGTTCCTCCACTGTTCTCCCGTGTCCGGCGGTTCCGTCTGGCTCACTGTCAGGTCTTCACCTCCCCTCGTTCTCTACGAACTTGGTGAGTACCGCTGCCCTTCAGGATGCGATGGTCACTACCACCACTCCTGGGGGTCAGCGTGTGTCGATCTACACGTGTACACGGACGGGCCGTCACCTGACCGCGTTCACTCGTCGGCCTAGGTCGAGTCTGTACTCACTGGCTACCAAGCCTCCTCAGGTAGCTGCGTCTGCCCAGGTTTCCGCGTCAGGTCAGGTAGCACCCCCTTGCTCGTGTCGCCTCTTGTCGCACCAGAATCTCATCTGGCACCACCGCCTGGGTCACCCCTCCCTGCCACGCCTTCGTGGCATGCACTCCCGCCTCCTTGTCTCTGGTCTTCCCAGGTCTCTGCCTCCCCTCCCGCCCTCACCTGCCCCGCCCTGCCTTCCTTGCGTCGAGGGGCGGCAGCGCGCCGCTCCTCACTCCTCCTCGTTTCCCCCGACGACTGCTCCCCTGCAGACTCTCAACATGGACGTGTGGGGCCCAGCCCGCGTCAGTGGACAAGGCCGTGAGCACTACGTTCTGCTGATTGTTGACGACTACACACGTTACACCATGGTCTTCCCCTTGCGCAGCAAGGGTGAGGTCCCTGATGTCTTGATCCCTTGGATCTGCGCAGTCCGTCTCCAGCTTCGCGAGCGGTTCCGCCAGGACCTTCCTGTCCTGCGTCTGCACTCTGACAGAGGTGGTGAGTTCTCCTCCGACCTCTTGCGGGAATTTTGTCATGGGGAGGGCATTCTCTAGTCGTTCACGCTTCCGGCCTCCCCTCAGCAAAATGGGATTGCTGAGCGCCACATTGGCTTAGTCATGGAGGTCGCTCGTACCTCCATGAACCATGCGGCTGCTCCCCATTTTCTGTGGCCGTTTGCGGTCTGGTACGCTGCGCATCAGCTCAACCTCTGGCCCCGTGTCTCCTTGCCGGAGACCTCGCCGACTCTGCACTGGACGGGGGAGGGTTGCGATGCGTCCGCGGACAAGCTCTTCGCCCGTGCTATTCCCTTTGTCTTCCTTGGCTTTCCCCCTAACGCGTCTGGCTGGCAGTTTTACCACCCCACCTCGCGCCGTGTCATCCCCTCTCAGGACGTCACGTTTGACAAGCCGGTTCCCTTTTACCATCTCTTCCCCTACCGCTCTGCCCCTCCCCCACCCCCGCCGCTCTTCCTTGCTCCTGGTCCTCCTCTGGTATACCCCCTCCCGCCCCAGGGCCCTGCTCCCTCAGGTGTGTCTCAAGTACACCCTCTCCCTGGTACTGTGCCTATTGAGGTAGCTGGTGACTCAGGTACTGCTCGAGGTGCTGTGTCTGGGGGTGCTGCATCTGGGGGTGCGGAGCCTTGGGGTGCAGAGTCTGAGGGTGCCGGGTCTGGGGGTGCGGAGCCTAGGGGTGCTGAGTCTGAGGGTGCTGGGTCTGGGGATGCTGAGCGTGGGGGTGTGGAGCCTAGGGATGCTGAGCTTGCGGGTGCTGAGCCTGCATGTGTGGAGCCTGGAGGTGCTGAGCCTGAGGGTGTTGAGCTTGGGGATTCTGAGTCTGAGGGTGAGGAGTCTGGGGGTGCTGAGCCTCGGGGTACTGCTTCTTCTAGAGGTCTTGCGGATGCTTCGCCACAACCGTCTCCCCGGCCGAAGCCTCTCTCCCTGCAGAAGCTGTGCGAGTGGTTTGCTCAGCGCACACGCCTTCGGAGTGGAGCTGCCAGAGCAAGAGAATCTGCCGCTAGAGACACTGGAGCTGGAGGTGTTGGAGCTACTTGTCTTGGAGGTGCTGGAGTTACTGCTGGAGCTGGTGGAACCGGAGGTGCTGAGCTGCTGGTCCTGGAGGTGCTCGTACGAGGGGTACTGGAGCTGCCAGGACTGGTAGTGTTGGGGGCACTGGAGCTGGAGGAGCTGGAGCTGGAGACCCTACGGAGCGTGTGGAGGTGCTGGGGTTGGAGGTGCTGGAGCTGGAGGCACTGGCGCTGGTGGCGCTGGAGCTGGAGGAGTTGGAGCTGGAGGCACTGGCCCTAGTGGCGCTGGAGCTGGAGGAGATGGAGCTGTTGACCCCGGAGCTGGAGGA